AGTTGCAAGATTTTTAACTTAACACCGTATAATCACAGTGTTTTACTAGTTATGGTGATTCACAATGTATTTTTCCAAATAAATAGTATGTTTTTTATGCAAACATTACTTTTTCTTTCTCACATGTAAAGGCATTATTTTTTATTTTAAATTTGAACATTTCATTTGTATTTGACGTGAATAATTGTAACATATTTTCAACTTCATGATGAATGAGACGGTTGTAGCCTGAATTAGGTAAGATAATTAAAATTAGATAATATCCTACCTTTCTTTTGTTCGTGTAATGTTTACACATAGGTTTACATATAGCTAGGTCATCTTTAGTTGATTATCACTAATATAAATACTGTGTTAAAAGATGACAAAGACAAACCCACTTCTTTAGTTTATATATATATATATAGTTTATATCCATCATATATTTTAAACTAAATATTTGAACCATGAGACTCTATGTTTTATCTATGTGATGTTGAAAGATATTTTATTTTGGCATTAGTTCGATTAGTTCGAACAAGCACCTGGAACCACAGAATAAAAGGGAAGATCTTTATATATTATATTTCCTTATGTAATATTGTTTTATTTTCCTTATATAAGTTCATGTTGATCTTATTACCGTTTTGATATGCTAGGAAATTACGTGTGGTGAGATAAAGAAGGAGGAAAGAGACATGCTTGGAGAGGAGATCAAGGAGAGAGAATAAAAGGTTTACTTACCAAAGATATGTTATTATCTTGGAAGGAAATCTTGATGAAGTCCTATGCCTTGTAGAAGACTCCAACCCTAAGGAGATCTTATATATACCCTAGGAGAAGCTTATGGCGGCCGTGGATGACACACTGAGAAATATTCGAGAGCCATTCAAGCTTCACTTGCTTACTGTTCTATTTTCATTGTATTTAGTACAGTCTAAGAGTTCTTACAAACTCAAGGACTGATACTGCATTTGTTCAGTTCTTTTACATTTCATCAAAAACTATTTCACGATTTGTACACTTAGGGAATAAGTGTAGATTTATAAGTCCACGGGACGTGGCCGGAGAATTAGTTGATAGGATCAAGTAGTGTTGGCTAGATTTGAAGGGAGTTCAAGTCGTTGTAAGTCCAAACTATGTTTATGAGTGATCTATCAATGAAAGAGCTCTGAGGGGAAGTGGGACGCTTCCCCGAAGAGTTAATTATTCTTTGGTTGTTTGCTTCCGCATTTCACAATTCTTACTTTGGTTCTTACTACAATTAGCGCACTCCGTGACAAATATACGTTTCAGATGTTATGATTATTTACTAGGATCCATTTAATATTTTATTTCAGTTTACTATCAATTTCGTGATAGTTTTGTCTAATTGTTAGTTGTTAATTAATAAACATGCATTTGAATTCATGGTACTCTAGATATCATTAAAAGGTCAGTCTTGTAGTAATTAACTCGTTCTTTAGAAAAACCACAATAAAAGACATGTTTTTAGAACAGTTCACAGACACCCATTTTAGAAAGTAGAGTGGTGCCATTTTTGTAATAATTAAAAATGTTACGTAAGTTCTAAGCAATAAATATTGACTAGTGGCATTTTCCCCAAAGTATATTGAGTGGCCATGAGTGAACGTACGTAAGTTCTAAGCAATAAATATTCTGTACAATTACACAAAAGTGAATAAAATAATTAAGCAAAGAGAAACGGAGGAAAAGAAAATGAGAAAGTCCATAAAAGTTAATCTGGTTTGCTAGATTGGCTTATCAATTGATTTACCAAATCGTGTGTGACATCGATTTTGATATTATTATAATAAAAATAGTAATATATGTTTGGGAAGTGTATATTTGGTAACTCGACATTTAAACAATTTTGACAACATAAACTCTTTGCATAATCCAACAAACAAGGAAGAGAAGGAACATAAAAAAAATAAAATAATAATAATAATAATAAATAGTCTTTATTCTCATTACAAGAAAATAATGAAATTTAATAGAAAACTCCAACGAAAATATATTCTAATGGAATTTCAACGGCAATTCTAATGGATATTCCGATGCTATTATTTGCGTTGGAATTTTTCAATAGATTACAACATAAATTCCCACAAAAATATTCCATTGAAATGAGTTTCCATTGAATTTTTTGTTGGATTTTGATGATTCCAACGATAGATTTTCTAACAGGTGTGGAAATAAAAATTCCAACAGAAATTCCTACGGTTAAAAACCGTTGGAATCATCAAATTCCATAAAAAATTTCAATAGAAATTCATTCCAACGGAATATTTTCGTTAAAAATTTCGTTCGAATCATTCCAACAGAAGCTATACCATTGGAATATATTACCGTAGGACTTCTCGTTGGAATATAATAATTTTTTTGTAGTGTCTAACATTGAAGATTGAACATATAACTTTGATGCATGTGGACTTAAATTTGGTAATTACCACCTAAAACACCATTAATTTGTTCTAAACAACATATAGAAAGAGCAAGAATCTGGTTCTTGTAGAGCATCTACAAAGATGGCTTATGCTTAGGAGTACTTTGTTGATGTGCTGCTATAAATAATTGAGAAACAAAAACTTCTGCTATATTTGTTAATTCAAGCTAAATTTATAGTTAAGGTAGGGGTTTCCAAAAACTATGTTTTTTAATAGAAAACTCACTAAAAGTTTTCGGTATGCACCATAATTAATTTATAAGTATTTTGTAATGACAACTTGGTTTGCTAGGATAAGATATTTGAAAAAACTCGAACTTATCCTACTTAAGCTTTTTAAATAGTTTTTCAAAATGTTCATAGAAATTTTTATTATAACTGACTTATTAGTTAATTTTAACAAGCTCTTATATTATATTAACTAATTTTTTATACATAAACCATAAATTTTCAACGATAGGTATAGCTATAGATTAATTATGAACTATAAGTTAATTTATCCACGATTAACAAGCTAACTTATTAGTTAATTTCATCCATAAACCATAAATTTTCAAAGGTAAGTACAACTATAGATTAATTAAGGTAAGTACAACTATAGATTAATTATGAGCTATAAGTTAATTTATCCACTATTATCTAGCTTTTCAATTAGATTTACATGACATACCACATATAAGAAATTCAATCAACTCGAGAGAGAATTTTGGTGTCGAATAAACATAGATTTTTTAAAAAATAAAAAATCTCATCAACGCATTAAGAGATGGAAAATTTTGTTCAAAAAAAGTTAATAAGAAAATAAGATTATAAATGAATATGAAATAATAAAGAGTTCGTTTAACGTCACAATCAGATTAGATCTCACGCTAACTCACAAGTCCACGTCCTTCTGCTCACTTTTTTGTCACTAAATTAGCGTAAGAATTATGCTAATTACATATTCAACTATTACTTCATGACAAAGTTTGTGCCCACATTTGATTCCCTTAAGAAAAGCTCTATATAAACTTGTAACTGATATCCATTACACTCCCACCAATTTTTTTATTTTTATTTTTTTTTCTTCACCTCCCTTAAACAACCTCAAAAATCCCCCCAATGTCTTGGGCAAATTTAAAGAAATTGTTTCCTCCAAAAAAGTTTTGGAAGTTGTTCAAAACTAACCTTCCTCTCAAGCTCCATAATAAACTCAATAGATCAAAAGCAAACAAGAAAAACACCAACACTTTATCATCTTACAAAGCTAGCAAGAAAAAAAAGCTTGGCCTTTTGCCATCCCTCTCCATTCAACCCAAGAAATTCAAGAAAATTACTAAAAGACATCACTCTTTAGTCGGCCCCCTTACAAAGCCGCCTCCCATTTTTGTCGACCAACTTTTTATCGAGCCCGTTTGCATCGTCAAAAGATGTGATCATGTGCCGGGTGTGGAAAAGCAAGAATTTTCCGGCAAGCAAGAATTTTCCGGCAAGGAGACTTCAAGTTCGACGAGTAATACAAACAAAGGTGAGGTTGTCGAGTTAAGCGTAGTTGAGGAACACCATCACCGCGCGATTAACGCGGATGATATGTGGGAGTCGGTAGGGGTAGATTCAGCACAAATGCACGGAATAAACGAGAAGGCCGATGAGTTCATATCTCGGTTCAGGGCCGAGATGCGGCGTCAAGAGATGCTTGCTCGTCGTTTGTAGTGTTCGTTTTTTTATGTAACTTTTTAGTGTCATTTTCTTCTTTGTTGGTAGACATTTTGGGCAAGAGAAGCAACAGTTAGTCAATCCCACATAGCTTGGCCTTCTTTGAGGGCTAAAAACACGACTCTTTGATCGATGATCGATTTATTTCAATCGACCATCAACCATTGATTCTTGACACTTTATATAACTATTTGTTAGGAAAGAAGTGTATAGTTCCAAATCATAACAACATTCCCAGCCAATTTACATTATATATAAAAGCAAAATACGCGAGCTTTCAGCATTTCCTTTCACAGAAGAGAAACGAGCACGCCATAGACAATATTTCAGAATACATTCGATACATTCTTTTTTATCTTCAGCAATCAAACTGAAGTTTATGAAGCTGTAACACCACTATATGTCTGAAGAACTAAATAGCTTCAAACCACAACCACACTCGAGTTTTTCCAAATCTAATAACTTATTTCAATGCAAGAAGTCTTTCATTGGGTCGTCATGATGAACCCGCTTCATCCTATAAGCTTCCATATCTTCAGGAGTAACCTGCACCGCCCAAAAAAGATTTAGTTAGAATCACTTCGGTTTGTGTTTGGTAAGCATATAAGCTATAGCTTATAGCTTATTTGATTAGTTTATAAGATTCTTGTATTCAAATAAGCTTGGTTTGATAAGACTAGTTTTTTTAAAAAGTTCGAGCTTACCTCATAAGTCATAAGCTTCCTTGAATAGCTTTTCAAATAAACCCATTGAATTTTTTTTTTCAGCTAGCTTATTAGCTAATTTTACCGAACACTTTTATCATATAAACTAACTTTTCAGCCATAAATCATAAGCTCTCAACTATAAGCTCAAAATTCACTTAAAAACTATAAGCTAGCGCTTATCAGCTAGATTTACCAAACATAGCCTTCATACAGTACAACAAAAAGGAAAAAGTCGACCATATAAACAGTTAGTTAGCGCACCTCGTCATTCCACTTCACATTGTATTTTCTCTTCCTTTCATCCCGTTCTTCTCTCCTCCTTTCATCCTCCTGCCACAGGCACAAGGAACAATATTTTAGGCACTATGTGATATATATGTGTGTGTATGGGTGTGTGAGAGAGAGAGAGGTTTCACCCAGATAAAGCACATGCTTCACCCACCAAAAATCCATACAAAAGAAGTGATTAATAAGATCAACAATCAGAATTGAAAATTTTACCTTCTGAAGTGCTTCAGCCAACTTCTCCTCATCCAAAACCAGATCATCAGGCACTTCAGATCCCCATGTTGCCATCCTTTTCTCTTCAGTCGGTGCAGATTGTCCTGTTTTTTTTATCATGTTAGGAAGTACAAAAAGAAGAAAAAGATGCATGCTACAAATCATGCTTCATGTATAGTAGCAGTTAAGGGAAGAAAAGTAGAAAACCAATTATTACCTTCATTAGCTTCTTTGCGAGCAATATTGGCTTTCATGAGATCTGATGCAGCTTCAGCAGCCTCAATACCAGCAACACCTGTACAGTAGCTGTTCCTAACCGTCTGCTGGCAACACTTGTAACCCCACTGATGATCCTTCCACCATGAGCCCCACACGCTCGTATGGTTGTTAATATAAACATCTTCTTCATACTTGCTTTTCGGAAGTGACATCTCCTGTAAATAACCCCATGCCATTCATGAAGTTGTTAAAATTCTACACCAAATAAATTTACCAGGAAAAGGATAAAGCAGAATGCAACAAACAATGTCTTCTTAGAAAAGAAAATTGTGTTTGTGAATATCAAGTTTTTTGCACTTTTTCATGGCTTTTTAACATTTCGAAATTCGAAACAGTTATATGTGACAAGGGAAGGGGCAAAGGTCGCCACAAAGTCCCTATATTAACACTTGCTTCCATTTGGGAACTCCATCCAAAAAGGTAAATGAAAGTTGACCCAAACAATGGCAGGTGACAAGAAGAATCTGACAACTGTACGTCTAAAACTGACAATATGCTACTAAGCCCACTGAGTACAACAAATAAAAGATGAAATAATTACGAGAAGAGACAGTCCATTTAACTAATTATGCTGGGTCAGAGCTAATCCACCTAGCCCAGCCCTCATTACAGTCGGATAACGATGAAAGATAATAGTTAGATCAGTCTTCAGTTATTATTAAGAAAAAAACTCGCTAATCTAATCAATGATTGACAGGGTAAGACTACTCGTTCATACCTGGCCTTTTATAATTCTACCAGCTCTGTCATATTCAACTTCTCTCTCACTCTGGCCCAGTAAGAGTTCCCGGGGAAGAACCTCATCAGTGGCAGCATTACCATACTTCTCCATGATTGTATCTTTAGTTTGAGACTTCAACTTCTCCTTATTGATCTTGAAGTTCTTATAAAGCAACTCAGCTTGTGAGGGAGCCGCTTGCATATGAACGTCATGACCCTTGTCAAATGCTTCCCAAGCATGAATATTGAGCTGCTTGAATTCCAAAGCTTGACCACTAATCCTGTTTTGGTTATCACCCTATATCACAAAGAAAACATCACTGAGCTATTCTAAATTCAAAAGGACACAAGAAAAGCAGAAAAACTAATTATTGAAACAGAAAAACTTACAGCATAAAATTTCTCATTAGGATCCATATCTGGAAGAGGGTCCTCACGCATAGAACGGGTCTTCGGGTCATAGTGGGCTGAGTTAACATCTAGATTAAGAAGGTATTTTGCAGTATCCTCTCTAATACGCAGGTTCCTGGACAAAAACAACGAATCATGAGATTTCAATTGTCAACTCGTGAAGTATATAGTGCAACTTTCATTTAGGATAAAACCCTAATATCCTCCCTCAAGAGCATACAACAATATTACAATATGTCAGGAGTTACTACATAGAAATTCATAAAAGAGTAAGTAATGGCAATATATATACACACACATATATCATAATACCTAACAGTTCCAGTACTGCCACCACCAGTTGTGCGCACACGCTTTTCAACCTTCGCAAAGTCCATTTGCTTGCTCTCATCAACTTTAGCCTCATCAACTCTCAGTGAATCATCGTTATCTTCATCATCACTAACCCCCTCTTCGTTATTTTGGTTGCTATTTTTCTCTTCCAGTTTTTTAAGTTGTTGCTCCTTCAAATATTTGTTTCTTGCTTCATCCCTGGCTTCATACATCTGAATTACATGTTTATAAGATGCAGCATCATAACCATTCCAACGATCCCTTTTTCCATCATAATCGAGCTCAAAGGACTCTATCTTCTCATCTGGGGCAATACTTTTGCCAGTCCACTTAGCTCCCAATTTGCGTGGCCTCTCCACACATGACTTCTTACCATGAGTCATTGCTCCACAGCTGTAGTAAGGACACAAGGTCAGAGTTAAAACCACAGTGTCAACTTTCTTTGTTCTTCATTTTTCTCTTTAAGAAAAGGAAATATTAAGTTGGTGAATGTTAGACTTTTTCTCTTCCACCCACGGTCATAAAAATCAGTTAGGTTAGAATTCTCTCCCGCCAACCTAGTCTAAAGAAACAAATATATAACGATCACATCACCAAAAAAATTAAATATGCAAGACAAGGAGAACAAAATGAAAATACACATATCAAATAGCATGTGGCATCATGTAGCTAAGAGTTTCTTTACCCATATCCAGAGTAGCATAGTTACAACTGTAGCATTACTCAATCAGAAATCACTATGATGCAGTATCACGCATGCCATGTGAATCAACAGAAAAGTGAATAGTAAGTATCCAACAGGCAACAATGCGTAACGCATAGATCTTTGAACGCTAAAAAGAAAACCCTCCTAATTAATGAATATTTTAATTCAAGCATTTCATACATCAAATATCACCAAAAAAGAAAAAAAAAAAAGGAATGACACGAATGAACAGAGTTATCCAAAGACGCATACATACATACATGCATGCATACATGGTAATTTCACATACTTTTCACAAGCACCCTTTCTGTACTTGTCCGCCTGAAAAGTCTTTGCACCTCTATCATACCACGACTTTGTATAGTTTGGATCCGATTTCCATTTCCTTTGATGTTTCAAACTCTGAACAAACATAAAACAAAGGCTGCTGTGAAATAAAACAACGTAATATACCGGTCTCTCAAACAAAATAATGCTCAAAGAATAGAAAGAAACACTAAACCAAATATAACAATGTAGCATACCGGTCTCTCTGCATTGAGATACCAAGGAGCTGATGACATATACTGTGGAATGTGAGGATTGATTTCCTTTCCATCTTCATCCACTTCAGCTGGCGCAAGACCTGCTTTACGCGCCTCCTCTAGTTCGAGCTGTTTCCTGTGATCCTCCCTTGATTTGAAAGCCACTGAAATTCCCAAACCAAAAATCTCAATTTTGACCAAATCCAATAAAACTACACCCAGAAACAATAATAATAAGATCCCTTCTGCTTTTTCCATACGAATTTAAGTAACGAACTCGGAAAGAAGAACACAGCCTAGACCCATTTTTTCGAATGTCTAACAGGAAAACAATCGAATTACACAAACGATTAACTTAACCAGCCTGGTAAGTCTGGAAACCCTAAATCAAGATCATAAAGTAACAATTTTTTGGCAAAAATAACAAAATTGAAGGATTAAAGACGGGTCCTATTACAATTTTACTCAGAACCCAAAATCGAAGGAGACACAAGGTAAGCTATCAGTTATGATTGAAAAAATCGGTAGTCAGATAAATTGCACAAATTACAACGATGATCAAAATTTTGAGAAGTACAGATCGTACCTGAAGCAGTCGCCATGATTGACAGAGCAGATTCTGATAGATTTCGCCGGAATTTGTTAGCTCTAATAAACGGATTTGCAGAATAAAGCCGCGGGGATGAGAAGGATAAGGCGCGTTTAAGCTGAAGAATGGCGGTGATAGAGACGGCGAGCTCCGTGAAAATTGAATGTTTATTTTAATTAGTTATAATTATTGGAAATTGAATAAAAAGTTAATAATGAATAACTGGAATTAGAGTTTGGGAGAATGATATTTTTGATATATATATATATATAAAAAAAAAATGTGATAATTGTCGGTTATTTGATTTGGTTTTGAATATATTTTTAAAATAATTAGAATATCATATTATATAGAAAATATTATTTTTCATGTTTTATATATTTGTTTTGTTTGATTCAGTTAAGCGACTTAATAATCAGTTATTTCGGTTCAATTTTACAGAATGATAATTCGGTTTTATGGGTTTGGTCCGGACCGACCTATGAACATCCCTAATAAATCTTTTTACTTGAAATCAAATATGATCCGAATAGAAAATGATGGATATTGTCCTAGTTCAAACCTTGGCCCATAGTGTGCGATATGTATATCATATCTACTATTAGATAGAAAATAATGGATATTGTCCTAGTTCAAACCTTGGCCCATAGTGTGCGATATGTATATCATATCTACTATTGGAGCTCGTATAACTCGGAAGCATCTTGTATGATTAGATGTACTTGATATTTCGGTGAAAACTCGAACTGTTGAAGACATTTGGCTTTACTCTTAGGTTGAGTCGCCTCAACTCGATCAGAGTAGGGGGACTAGATGATATGATATATCTTACCTACTATTCGGGCTCGTATAGCTCGGAGGCAGCTCGATCATTTGAACACATTTGAACAATTCGGTTATCGCTCGAAAAGCACAATAACATGGAATAGCTAGGAACCAAGTCAAAGAAGATCAAGAACACAGTCAGGTCGAGCTAAGATTCTAGAATAGTTCGACATAAACTTGACCTAGAGCTAATAGATGAAGACAACATTACGCCCAGTGATATTAGTCAGAGAATAGGTGATGGAGCTACTTAGCTCGGTCAAACAAATGATGAACAAGCAGGGCAGTGTGGACGTAAATCGATAAGAATGAGTGTGACTAAAATTGGATAAGGATTATACTTGGACAACAAAAATGTTTGGGTAACAAGACTGGGTGGATCTAGGGCAATATGGGTACTTAGGCAGAAAGATCGGGCAAATCTTGGGCAGCACGAGGACTCAGACACTGAGATCAAATATATCCTGAGCAACAAAGGTAATGATTTTATATAACAGTATGAGGTATGGTATCACTTCTTCTTTTTTCTCTCTGAACATTCTCAGTTATACTACATATATATGCTTGATGCTTCCACCCCCAAAAATCGACTTGTGCGTTGAAGCTTCTATATCGAGACATCCCCTCGTGCTATTTACAAGTCATTCTAGGGGTTTGAGATTGTTGTGCAAACTAGTGTGCATTGGTTATCCAACTAAACTTTACAACAATGAAACGTTATTGGGCCTTTCCTTTGATCTAGGCTAATAGTTAGCTGTACTCAGCCCAATGCAATATTTATATATTTAATAATTATGTTCATGGACGAATAATAAAATGATATGTTATATTTAATTGAATTGTAGAAAAAATCGTGACTAAAAAATAATATTTTTTTAATCGAATCGCCATCTAAACAGCTAACTGGCACTTTCTTTTACTGTCACCTTTCACATAAAATAAAGAAAGAGCGAAGAAGAACTAATGCTAAAAACTTATCCAATCGTGTCGGTACGTAAGTATGTCCGGCCTTTGAAGTTGACCTAAGATTTGCTAACAAGTTGTCCATTATATTTCATCTCACCATTATAACCAAAAAATTCTTTTAAATTTAGAATGCATTTGTGAACGTGGCAATTATTCTCGTCGGCGTGTATTTTTTAATGAAGTATTTTTCATTTTCTCTATTCTTTATGTTTTTCTCTCTATTTTAATTTTTTTGATGGAAAAGTATTTTGTGGGGACATTATATGAGTTGATTGTCATCATTAAAAGGTTGGTGTACCTTGAAGCCTTTATCATGCTAGTTGAAGTGGGATAATGGATCTTACTCGGGAGCTTGAAATTTGCTACAATGTATGTCAGATATTTCTGCATAAAATAGAATTTAATTAATATTATATAGTTAGCAAAAAATAGGTCTAATTTGAATACGCTAGAACTTTGATTGACCAATCTACGAATATTCCCATAATCCCATGGTTTGATCAGCTTCACGAATTCTTTATAGTATGTCACGATCAACCTTTTCACTTCAGTGAATCTACTAAAATATAAAACCCAAAAGATGAAAAGATTATGTGTGGCTAATGGCTATTCTTCAAGAGAAATAACGTGAGACAACGAAGTCTATTTAACACTTGCATAAAAAAAAATAAAAAATCCAAACTTTAATGATGCGGCTTAATAATTGCAAACAACTATTCATTTCTAATTATATATAAGTTCATTTATATATATATATATATATATATATATATATATATATATATATATATATATATATATATATATATATATATATATATATATATATATATATATATATATATATATATATATATATATATATATATATATATATATATATATATATATATATATATATATATATATATATATATATATATATATATATATATATATATATATATATATATATATATATATATATATATATATATATATATATATATATATATATATATATATATATATATATATATATATATATATATATATAAAAGTTCATTTATACAATCTAGATTAATTATACTTTACATTCTGGGCATATCGAAACCGTTAGGTTACACGCGCACGCACCCGTGCGGGTATAAAACTAACGTTAAACTTACCTAAGTTTTTATGTCTATTAACAATGACATTGAGCTACAATATAATAAGACTTTTATGATATATATTGTTAATGTGACTGGTTCATACATAACATTATTTTGTAAATAGATCGTTGAACAAATGAATAAGCTTGACCCATCAGAAATTAAATTAGCTCATTTAAATTTGCCATTTTATTTACAATTTGTTTCCTACTATACAACGTGTGATTTCAGCCAAATAGTAATATGCCGAGCTATAATAAGGGAATAAAAATAGACGCCTTTTGACTTTATAGTTTTAAGAAAAACTACATCTAACTCATACATTATTTCAATAATTACACAAAATAAAGTTAAAACAATATCTTACAACATTAAAGTCAAATTATAAATTGATTTTGTAAGATGTAAAGTACGTAAAACCTAAAAACACAAGTTACAAGGTATGCCGTAATTTCTTTCACAACAAAAAGGACACATAATCAAGCGGCTACACAAAAATTTAATTCCAATATATAGCTTAAAAGTAAAAACCCAAATAATTATATATTATGGGAATGTAATTTTTAAACCAAAATTATATTATTAATCAATGAGGAAAATAATAAATCTCAACTCACAAAATACACAAAATCAAAACATTTCCGATAACTCTTCACTTTTACAAAACAAGTCGTACCAAAAATCACGACCACTTTCCGTATCTAAGTCCGAAACACACAAATTCGCAGGTTGAAGCCCACAATCACTATTGCCAGATAACAAATCGCTATTGCCACTCCACTCGTCTCCGGCGAGAATCTCCGACCAGAACTCTTCGTCCGTCAAAGAATCCGACGCCGTGTAGACGTTAAATTCGCCGGAGCTTCCGCCACGAGCCGTGAGGACGGCGGCTTCCGATGAGATCTCGCCCGAGGAATGTGCCGGCGAATTTTGGCCGGCGTGCTCATTATTTTTTTGGTAAAAAATATTGTATTCATTTTTCCGGGTTTTGGTTTTTGATTCGGGTTGACATTTTCCGTTGAGTTTTTTCTTCAAGTGAGTGTGCCAAACGTTCTTAATTTCGTTGTCTGTACGGCCCGGCAATCTTGCTGCTATTTCTGACCATCTGAAAATGTAAAGTGCAAATATAAATAATTTTTTCTATGGTTAACTTAAGAGAAAAACATTATAATTATACAAACAATATTTCAAAATTCATAAATACTTATATAAGGGGACCACATAAGTTGTATGTGTTTTTTTCAAGCAAAATTATATTTTTAATCTTGTTGGTTTAAAATCATAATAATTTTAATCTCCATGTTCAAGTTTTTAGGCTTTTGGTTATGTGATGTAATATTTTACTGTAATTTCAGTCATTTGAGAATTGAAATTGCAACAAAAATTTAAATAACAAACTAAAATTTTCATCAAATTTTTAATTACAGGACTTAAATTGTTAATATAAAATTTGGGAATTTGAGAATTTTTTGCAAGTTCACATGACAAGAAAGTGAAGTGTTGGAACATTAAAATTAAAATTACTATAGTGTTAAACCAGCAAATTAAAAATGCAATTTGCCTTTTTTTATTTACAAAAATGCATAATGTTATACTTATATTGAAAAAATATGACGGTCTAACTTTTGTTTATTAATTTTATATTTTAGACAAAGTGAAGTACACATGACAAAATATGGCAGACTCACTTTTGTTTATTTTTTTTTTAGACTGTGAAAGTACGTATATTTAATGAAAAAAATTTGATTATTTAACCGTTAGTCCTACCTACCCAACTTTACTGTTCAAATTAAGATTTTAATTCCAAATAATAAATGAATTTGTTTAAAAAAGAGAATAAAATAAAACTTGCATTACTTGTTTCCTAGCTCCATATGCAAATTTATTATGATTTCCTCTTCGTCCGAAGTGAAATTGCCTCTCTTAATATTGGGCCTATTGAGATCAAGAGAGAAACAGAGAAAGGAAACCAAAACATATTCATTGATGATAATGATGAAGGATTACAGAGGAGATTTATATATCTCGTGAGCTGTTGTCTAATCACAGTTGTTAGCTATGCATAACTACTAACAACAGACACGTGCTAACCACATGTGTTAATCATATGCTAATTAACTAAACATTGACTTGACTCTAATACACCCCCGTTAAACCAAACTAGGTGTTGAAAAATTCTTTGGCACGCATAGGCAGCTTAGTACAAAGAAAATGAAACCGTGCAGGAGCAAGAGGCTTAGTTAGAATGTCAGCCACCTGCAATTCAGAGGGAATATACCGAACTTCCACCTCCTTAGAAGCTACCTTTTCCCTAACAAAGTGAACATCAACTTCAATATGTTTGGTACGTGCATGTTGAACAGGATTTGATGCAAGGGCCGCAGCACTGTCATTATCACACCACAAGACGGAAGGTGACTCAAAGAAAAGACCAAGTTCATGAAATAAAGAGTGCATCCATAGAAGATCCGAAGTAGCAGTAGCAATACTCCTATACTCTGACTCTGCACTACTCCTAGAGACAACAGACTGCTTTTTGGAACTCCATGCAAGGAGATTTGTGCCCAAAAAAATGCAATGACCACCAGTTGACCTTCTATCATCCTTGCACCCGGCCCAGTCAGCATCTGTATAAGCTTCAAGAGCAAACCTCTGAACAGGTTGAAAGAGAAGACCAACAGTAAGGGTGCCCTTAATGTACCTCAATAAATGCTTGCATGTAAGCCAGTGATTTGTAGTGGGAGACTGAAGAAATTGACTCAACTTATTAACCGCAAAGGAAATGTCAGGCCGAGTCATGGTAAGATACTGAAGAGCCCCAACAACACTTCTGTACAATGTAGGGTTAGAAAAGGGCTCACTGTCACCAATATGAATTTTATGTGAAGGGCAAATAGGAGTAGAAACTGGTTTGCAATTAACCATGTTTGTCTTGACCAGCAAGTCTAGAGCATACTTAGACTGATTGAGAACATAACCAGTAGAGGATTTTAGGGCTTCAAAGCCAAGAAAATGATTAACCTCACCCATAGCCTTGAGAGCAAACTGTTGACCAAGAGTAGAGATAAGATGATGGACTGAAGATGAATTTGCACCAGTGATGAGAATATCATCCACATAAATGAGAACCAATAACAGCTCACCATTTGACCTTTTAAAGAAAAGTGAGGAATCAGACACACACTCTTTGAAATGAAGAGACAGAAGAAAACCTCTAATTTTAGTAAACCATGCCCGAGGAGCCTGTTTAAGGCCATAGAGGGACTTAGTGAGCTTACAAACAGCAGTAGGATGTGCAGGATCCTCAAACCCCACAGGTTGGGACATATAAACTGTTTCATTCAAATCTCCATTTAAAAACGCATTATTGATATCAATTTGTTGAATAGGCCAAGAAAATGTGGCTGCAAGTGTAAAAACAAGTCTGATGGTACAAGCCTTGACCACAGGACTGAAGGTCTCTAGAAAATCCACACCGGCAGTTTGCTGAAAACCTCGAGCAACCAACCGAGCTTTGAGCTTGTCAACAGAACCATCCAACTTATACTTGGTTCTAAACACCCACTTGTTGGAGATAACTTTCATATCAGGAGAATGATCAACAAGAACCCAAGTATTGTTGTTTATCAAAGCCTGATACTCACTTTTCATAGCAGCCAACCATTCTGGTCTAGACAAAGCCTCAGTAGTAGTGGCAGGCTCAAGAAGGAAGGATGGAGAAAGTTGAGAGGAGTAGGTCTTTGGTTTGAAGATACCTGCTTTAGATCGAGTAAGCATATGATGGGTGCNGCAGCCTCATTTAACATCTTAGAATTAGAAGAAACAACAGAATTGAAAGTACAAGGTGGAACAGTTAAAGTAGAAGCAGCTGAAGTGGAAGCAAGTTGATGAAGAAAGGAGGCATGGTTGGACAAGTCCAGCTGGTACAGACCATCCTTAAGCACTCCTTCCAACAGCACCTTGTGAGTAATCTTGTCCTTCACAAGGCAAAAATCAGAATGGAATTCAATAAGGATATTGTTATCTTTGGTGAGTTGAGAGATGCTGAGAAGATTTTTAGTGATATTTGGAACCAGAAGAATGTTGTTTAAAAGAATAGGAACGTGGTTCTTAGAAGGCAGAGATGAAGAACCAGTATGGGATATAGAGAGTTTAGAGCCATTGCCAACTAAGACCATGTCAGTACCTTGATAGGGAGCTGCCTGAAGAGAGAGATTTTCCAGATTTGCAGTAAGATGATTTGTAGCACCACTGTCAAAAAACCAGTTGGGATCTGATCCATGAACTGAGGAAGAGGTATTAGCAGGTGGAGAAGTACCAGCTTCACCAATGTGAACTTGAGGTGAGTGACCAACACTTTCCTGCCCTGTAAAACTGATATCAAACCGTCTATAACATTTCAAGGCAACATGATTAGCTTTGCCACAAAGTTGACACACAACCCTGTCAGAGTTTTTGTAAAAACGACCACGACCACGAGGAGATCGTCCCCTGCCTCTGGGAAAACCACGAGAATTAGCAAATGAACCTCGAGACTGAACAAAATTTGCTGAATAAGCAGGAGCAGAAGTGACAGTAGTCGAGGAAATCGGAAAAGCAGCCGGAGATGACGATGACAACTGACTAGCCAAACGCATTTCATGAGTCTGAAGAGAAAACTGTACCTCAGGTAAGGAAATGGAATCTAACCGAGATGTGAGGTTAACAACAACCGCTTCATAATCGGAACCTAAACCACCAAGGACATACATAGCCAACTCATCATCCGAAATGTGGTGACCAACAGAGTGCAGTTCATCAGCAAAACCACGCATCTTAAGGATATAGTCATCAACTGATAAATCCCCCTTTTTTAGGGTTTGAAGTTGAAATTTAAGATAAAGTACCCGAGCTTTAGATTGAGTATGAAAAAGCTGCGATAAGACAGACCAAACCTCAGCCGAAGATGAACAACGCGTAACATGACCAAGCATCGATTCTGACATAGACGCAAGCATCCAGCTGAGAAGTAGTTGATCGGTGCGCATCCAAGTAACAAAGTCGGGATTGAGCATCGAAGTAGTAGAATCAGACACAGCAGGAAGAAACTTGGGTGGAGAGGACGCAGTGAGAAGAAAATCTTCAAATCCATAAGCCCTAACTGTGGATAGAACTTGCAACTTCCAGTATGAAAAATTTGTGCGATCCAAACGGAGAGGAAGCGGAGTAAGATGAGGAGGATACGCGGCCATCGGCGACGAGACATGTAGCTCCGCCATGGCAAGGAAAAAAAATTAACAAAAGTGACCTAGCTTTGATACCATATTGAGATCAAGAGAGAAACAGAGAAAGGAAACCAAAACATATTCATTGATGATAATGATGAAGGATTACAGAGGAGATTTATATATCTCGTGAGCTGTTGTCTAATCACAGTTGTTAGCTATGCATAACTACTAACAACAGACACGTGCTAACCACATGTGTTAATCATATGCTAATTAACTAAACATTGACTTGACTCTAATAGGGCCTCAAATAGTTCATCCATCGGAGGCGGCAGCTCTTTCCACACCTTAGCAGGCCTATGACAAAATATCCCAAAACTCGTGATTAGATAAATCTCAAAAAATTGGAGATACGGATATAGGGATAAAATCGTTATTGGGTTAAATTACCGGCCCGTTTGGGAAGAGCCCGCCAATTCCCATGGCCATTCCGATTTATGTAGCCGACCAGTATCTGATCTTCTTCGGCAGTCCACGGGCCTTTCTTCAGGCCCATTTCCTCGCAGCATGGAGCCCGGCCCATTATATTCTCCTCTTTTGAAGCTATTTATCAGATTAAAATTGAAATTTTTGTTTATTTTTCTGGATAATTTTTTTTTTTTAATATATGAAGTTCACGTGAGGTGACCTCTGTTGTAAAAAATGAGTGAAAATTGTGAACTCCTTTTAGATTTTCTGAATGGAGTTGGGATTCGAATAAGTTTCCATTGGCTATTTATATAGAGTGATTAGTGGGCCATTGTGAAAGCACGAAATTGGCCCCAATTGTATTTAATATTGAGCACATATAGCAAATTGAAAAATAGAATAAATATTAGTCAGGCCATTGGTTTCGAGGTAGGCTATTTGTTTCGAGGAAATTGGCAAAATGCTACCAAAAAAAAAAACGTGACTTTTGTAATTTGTGTACAGTACTGAGGGTCCAAGAATCCCAAGTAAAATATACATTTACAAATGTCTTCATTATTTTGCCAAAAGAAAATAATAATGTGGGTTCATGTGAATTGGATACTTTTATAAAATTTATAAATTTTTATTAACTAAGTTATAGCTAAAAATATCCATTCTTTTATGAATTTAACTAGAAAATAATGAAATAAAACCACTTACGTTATGATATAGCCTCAAAGACACGTTATACAATAAAGTGTAAGATGAGGGTTAGAGTCCTCAGATGATCTGACTATACTCGAGTTAAAAAAGTATTGATACTAAAATTGACCTGACTGACCTAGAGACATAGTGATGAAAGAAGTCTAACATGAAATACGTTAATATTTCTCTATACGGGGAAGAATATAGTGAGTCTCTCCAGAGATTCTACCAAAATTTAGAAAAATGTAGTAAAATTTAGATAATTTCGAAAAGGTGTTATCTGTACTTATAAACATATCTTTATACCCTTTTACAAGTCTTTTTGTCAAGTTGAACTGAATGCGTAGCTCATTAAGTTTTCTTGGTCTTCAACACTATTTTTTAGCTCCGGCCATTGTCAGTTGTGGTTCCGTGGCTAGACGCTAGAGCACAATATTAGAGGTGTTTCTTACTCACAAAAAGTTTGTCTTTAATCTTTGTTAAGTGTTAGTTTCACCAAAAAAATAAAATAAAATAATAATAACAACAACAATAATAATAATAAATAAATAAGGCATGCGTAGGTTAATAGCTAGGATTAGGAGAAGGGCAAAGATATATAAATTTTTTTTTCAGTTAATTTGGTCCCATTTTCATACCATAATTAGGACAAGCAATTTTATGTACATGTGAACACTAAATTTTAAGGATTAGAAATATTCAATTTACTGAGAGAATGGTCAAACAAAGAGGCTAACCTTATATTGCTGTTGAAGCAACTTGTCAATCATACAGACTTGTCTTTGGTTTTTCCATATCCATATATTGCTATAAAATGTTGTGACGATGAAGTTTGAGAATGCATACACATCCCCTCCCCCGATAAATAAATTCAAAACGTTCTGAACTTAAGTGGTATATTCGTATTTTTGGGATTTTTTTTTTTTTGCCGAAACGATAGACGTAATATATAAGAGCACAAAAGTGCAACAAAAACAAATTACAAGACCCCAACAGGGTAATACCTAAGACCCCAACAGGGTAATAAGACAGAGGCCACCAGCCCAAACCAAAAACACGCCTAAAAAGCCACGAAGATAACAAACTGAGAGGACTCGCACATGGCGGCCTAGAAGTTAAAAACTTTAGTATTTCTTATCAGTTTTTCATATATAATATATCAAATTAATCATCTCTTGATGAGCTTCGACATCCATATTGTATGCATAAAAAATAAATTATATATATCTTTATAACAATAATATAATTTTTTTTTAATATTAATTAGAAAAATTAAATTATTTATCAATTATTAAATTTATATTTCAAGTAGTTATATGATATAAGTTATAAAAATTACTATAATAAAACACATGTAAGTCGCACAAGTAACAAGCGTCATTCTAAAATATATAATAATATATACTTTTTGTAAAAAAATAAATAAAATTTTAAAATAATTTTATTCATTAAGAATAATTTTTAACAAGCACCCATGTAATACACGAGTGTTGTACTAGTAGAGACTTATTTACAAAGATTATAATAAATTATATATATACACACATGCACACACACAAATATACATGTGACATTTCTCGGATTTGAAACATAGAAATTTAAAAATGTCATTCATAATCTCAAACGAATATAATTTGACATATGTAATTTGTGTTTTGAAATCTTATCAAATCATAGAAAGTTTTAAGAAACTCAATTTTTTATAAATTAAATAGCTAAAGATTTATGGGTGTACCACTCAAAAAGTGGAAGTTTCACTCTTGTGCAATGATTAGTGTAGAGAGGCGGCGTCAAAACACTTAGCTCATAAATCATAAATTATAAATCATAAATTTTAATTTAATTCAGTGTTCTAAAAGTCGAGGCGGGACCTATAAATTAATATTAAATACTTTATTTTTTATTTATTTTATCTACCTTCAAAATAAAACTATCTCAACTTATAATAAATCCACACACCTAAGTTCAAATTATAATATTAATATATTTTAAAGAAAATATGAAAACAAAACAGTGTAATTAGTATTTAAAAAAAATAAAATGATAAAAAAAAATGAAAATTGTCGCTGAGCCTGCCTAGGAGCACCTAGGCGCCACCTAACCGCCTGGCCGCTGAGCCCGCCTAGGGTCGCCTGGCCGATTTGTGCAAATCGGAGGCGGCCGGGCACCGCCTAGCGTTTAGGAGGCCGCCTGGGCCGATTTTTAGAACATTTAATCACTTTGTCTTATCTCAATTTCCTATTATTAATTGTTAATATTAGGTGGAATGGAATATAGATTATTAAAAAAATATCTCAATAGATAAACTAAGTGAATGTGTATTTCTTTTTTTTTTTTGTAAAATAATAAAATATTTATGAGATTCTGCGTAAATAAAATAATTAAAATCAATTTAAATATAAAAATATTAATCTAAATAATTTGTTGTTTAAATATATAAGTACTTGGATAGTGAATTTTATAACAGAATATTTATTAATGATTATTTTCAAAATGAATTTAATAAAATCGATGATTAAACATAATGACTAAATGAACGTTTTTTTGGGGGACAAAGTAGTTAAATATACATAATATTATATACTATACATACTATACATGACTCCCCCTAGCTTATATGTGCATCCGCCCTTGGGTAAGAGTAGTATATGGTAACTTATGAAAAAAAGAGAAACTAAAATAGTTTATGGTAATTCTCAAGCATAATAGTCAACACCAAACTTGAACATGTCTCAATTTGAAACACCAATTTATGCCAAATTAGATTATGAAGCACATCGGCTTGTCACCTAGGCTCAACATATTTGGAAATTATATGTAGGGGCGATTTCAGTCTGTATACAATTTTTTAAATGTTTTGAATTTAAAAATGACTTAAAATATAACTCAAAATCTCAAATAAATGAATGTTAATATGTATACTTGTTCGAAAAAAAAACACTCTAAAACTTAAAATATCACTCATAATTTATCTTATTCAATATGTATATTTGTTCGATAAGAAATTGTAAAATAAATATAATATTAATAAATATAAACAAAGTTTAGAAAAAATACTCCAAAAGTTTACCTTTGGTAATATTGATTTTATTAAGCACGTTTTTGTGGGATATAGGAATTTACATATTTACTACTTTATTTCTCCAAAAAATATAATTAACAATTATGTTGAATCACATAATTTTATTTCAAATAAACTTTCAAAAGGACAAATAAATCTGAAAATTATATTTTCATATCAAATTTATTCATAATTTATTATAATTATTATTAATTAATTAATTAAAAACACANTTGTGGATAGTATACTCATGAATAAAGAATAATTAAGAGGATGCTTGGATACAAAAACTATAAAAAAATCTAAACATTTTTAACTCAATCATTTTTTTAACTCAACCCCACTATCATCAATATTATTAATTTAATTAAATAATATCAACCAATCATTTTTACACATCACATCAACTTTAATTCATTATTCATCCACTCATATAATTTTATATACCATCAATTCAAATCATCTCTCTCCTACTTTTACATCAAATCAATTTTAATTATTTTATTTTAAATATTATTTTAATATATTCACTAACAACTAACCATACCACCTTTTTCAAAATTAATCAAACCAAACCAAAAAATCCAAACAAAACAATTTTTTTTTTTTGTATCCAAGTTATACTCTTCCTCACGTACAAATCTCGTCTTCTTTCATCAAAACTGGGTACGAGAGGCGACCCGTCGGAGCTTCACAACCAGTTTAGCCTAGCACACCTCGTCTCCACTTCGAATCAGGTAATTGTTGTGAGTGTTTAAATTCGTTTGTTCAAATCGGATTGATTTTGAGGCCATCTGCAAAACAGGTGTACGAGCTGCTTATATTTGTGTTTTCTCTATTTGATTGAATTTCTTTGTGTAGAGGTTATGTTTAAATTGGTCAGATTTTTGGTGGGATATGTGGTGCCAAAATATAAATTGAGTGTTGCTATTTACCGCACCCACTTTTACTATTCACCGCACCCAAAAATTTCTCTTTTGCCCTTACTAAAAAAAATATTAAAAAATTCATTTTTTAATTCAATTTTTTAACATTAAAAAAACTAAAAAAAACAAAAATAAACTATATAATAAATAAATATATATTAAACATATATATATATATATATAAATATATATCTATATTGATAAATAATTATAAATCTCTATTTTATTTAAATATGTAATTTTATTTAAAATAATTTCAAATGTAACAAAATTTATTTTGAAAATCGTATCGTTTCTACCAGTCCAACCGACTGGTGTTGACGGATTCGACAAAAAATATTTTATTCAAGCGAACAAGACTGGTTATAAACCGGTTCTCCGTCCATCCTGTCGGACTGTGTCCAACCCAATTTAATTTAAAAACGATGGATAAATCATTATTAATATTATTCATATATTTAATTTATAATAGAATCGTAATATTGTTTTCTTGTGCATCGCACGGACCACACATTAGTATATGCAACAATGGAGGAAAAACAGTCAATTACATGTTTTAACAATTAAACAATTAGAATTGAGGCAATTCGAACTTTATAAATATGATCAATATTCATTTTCATTAGATAATAGTAATTATTAATTCATATTAAAAGCGTCCAAATATATTTAAAATTAAAGTTAGAGTATTGTTTTCATATAAATATATATGTGTGTAATTTATCTTTAGTGTTGGAGGGGATGGGGCGAGACAGACTGCCATTTTTTAGTCCCGCCGGCATGGGGGCCCCGCCCCATTAAAAGGCGGGCTTCGGCGGGAAATAAGCTTGCTCGTTTTGACAGCTCTACCCCAATAATTGAACTACACCTCAATTTAGTTGGACATATAAACATAAATCAATTTAAGTGTGAGATTTTAAATTGGCATAGTTTTATTATTTTAATTTTGTTATTTAATAGTTGGATAGTAGTTAGAATCATTAATCATTAAAAGTTGAATTGTCACTTGAAATTTTTGTTATGAAGACATTAAATGACACGAGTTATGCAGTCGTCCATAAATATTTAGAAATTATGCATTGATACACGTTCCAAAAGTTATGTATCGTCTGCTAACTCCACATAAGTTATGTATTATATGTAAGGATATAAACGAGTTGAGTCCGATTGAGTATTCGTCAAGACCAACTAAGTTCGGCCGATTAACCAAACAAGTTTGAAATTGAGCCTTAGTCAGCCAAACTTAATAGCCAAGCTACAAAAGTTAATTTTTTCTTTCGATTCTTAGCAAGCGGGCTTGGCTCACAAACAAAAAACAAGGTTTAAACGATCTTGAACTCGACTGGCTATAAAAGATCCAAGCAAAACTCAAGCAATAAAAAGTCGCGCTCACGAGTGTTTTATTTAATTAGGTGATTAACATTTGTGAAACCACTATAATACAATTAAGAGCAAACCCAAATACATACAAATCCACGCCAAAGCCCAAACCCAAATAATTATATAAAGAAAGGCTTATGCCCAAGGCAATGTCAAGAAGGTTGAACTGGATGGGCCACGCGAATTTGGGCTTTCATAAAAAATGGATCCAGAAACATAAATAAACATGGAGTCCACAAAACCAAAGAATATGTTGTTAAATGACCATAACACCCTTGTTTTGCAGAACTATTTTTCGCTTTCCCCACGGCACCACGAGATTGTTCTTTGTACACAGTCACGGCAAAATCACAACATTCAAACCGACTCGCGCATAAATCATCTCAATCAGCCACCGCCATCGCCGTTTTCTCCGATCAACAGGCCGTAGTATGTGTAAAATACCCGTCAGACTGCTTTTCAACAGCTTGGGTAGCCATTATTTTTTTCAGAAAATTCACGAAAATTGGGTACCGCAATCGAGCTTGTTGTCTGTTTTACCTGATTCCGTGATTTTTGCAGATTTGAGCAGGAGATTGAGGCTGTTGAAGAAAGAAGGTCTGTTCCCGAGGTGCTCGTACAGTATTCTGAACCGCTTCCAGAGGTCGACCGCCGGCGGCGATGGATTGAGGAACAGCAAATGCGATGTTAAGTTGGAAAGTGATGTCGCGAACAGTCATATCTCGTCGGAGGATGAATTGGGCGGTTATGGCGATCGGTGGAAGCCTGAAATTGCTTGGCTGGGTAAAGCTCTCGAGCCGGCTTTGCAGCTGTACAAATGGGCTCTTCCAACAGGTTTGGTTATTTCTCCATTTTCAGGCGATTTTTTTTTTTTTTTTTTTTTNCCGGAATTGTTGATTCGAGATTGGTATTTTTGCTTGCTTAAATTGTTTCTGAGTTGGGTTTTGTGATTTACTGAGTTATAAGGTGGAACTTTTACCTTTTTTACTCATTTTTCTATTTATATTTTTGCCCACTTGTGTGCATTGGGGAATTATAAAAGATTACAGAGAAAATGAATAATTTGAAAGGTGTGATTTGATGTAAGATAAAGATATGATGATTATGTTTAATTTGATGTAAAAATGATAAAAATAATTGTTAGTTTTCCAACATGTATAATGAATTTTAAGAAAAATTTTAATAATGGTCGAGTTTTAATAAAAGTCGAGGTGGAGAAAAGTGAGACAACCGAATATAATACAATTTAAGAAAATTTTCTCTAGATGATTTTTTTTTTTTTAAATATCCAATGGCACCTAGGCAAGTTTGATTAGGTGCTTTAATGAATTGTGAAAAGTTCATACAGATAAATGAATCAAGCATTCGCCGTATTTAACTTAAAGATTGAGCTTAAAAAATTTCGTTTTAAGTGTATTNAGAGTGTTTGTTTTATAGGTAGTGGGATTGAACTGAAGCCGCCACCCACTGATAGGTCCCTTTCCGAGATTTTTGCAAGCATACAAAGGAGTAAGCTTGGAATTCAGGATTGGAGTCTCAGTGATCTTACTATTGGCTTGTACCTCCTGTATCTTAGGCAAGCATCCACAACTTCTGTTGAAGATGTGAAGGGTGAAATTGTCTCGTCGGAACTCATGGTAATTGGCTAAATCATCTAACTCTGTGAAATAATTTTTCTTAGGAGTAAGGGAATGTGTACGAACACTAAAAAAGTAGGTTTTTCCTATTTTTTTTTTCTTTTCAAATTTAAGTGTTCGCAAATTCCAAATTCTGCTTCATTTTATTGAAATTGAAAAGCATGGATTGGTGCTTTAGGGTGTGATTAGATATGGATTTGATTGGTTTTTGATTTTTTTTTTAAACCATAGTTAATTTTGAAAAAGGTAGTATGGCTAGTTGTTAGTGGGAATTTAAGTTTAGATTAAAATATTATTTAAAATAAAATATTTAAAGTTGATTTGATATAAAAGTAAGAGAAAAATGATTGGAAGTGATGTATAGATAAAATTATGTGGGTGAATGAATAGTTAAAAAGTTGATGTGATATGTAAGAATGATTTGTTGATATTATTTAATCATATTGATAATATTGAGGATAGTGGGTGGAGTTGAGTTAAAGTTGAGAGTTTTGATTTTTTTTTTTGGTTGAGTTTATACCTAATTAGATTCTGATTTTCCCTTTGTTTTGAATTTTTTTTTTAAACTGGTAAAGAGTCTCTCAAACTTCTCAGCCAACACTCTTTCATAAGCTGATCGATTGTTTTTACTCTTTTGCTAAACCCACAGACTTTTGACTCTTGATACTTGAGTTTTAGATGCACGAATCGATTTTCCTGGAAGAAGGCCCAAAAACTCGATCAAAGTTGCTTTCTTTATCACATGACAGGGAATTATCTAACATTGATGTTGGTAAATTTTAGGTTCAGGATTTCATATACCACACGGAACTAGCAAAGGGTGCTTACAAAGATAATGCAGCTGGTCTGGCAAGGAATAGCATGATCAGAGAAAAAAATGTAATCAAGTTTGTTAAGAACTCCAGCGTGCTGAGACCTGGGTATTATATAGGAATCGACACGCGGAGAAAACTCGTCATCCTTGGTATACGTGGGACCCACACAGTATATGACCTCATCACTGACATCATATCTTCTGGCCATGAGGATATCACAACAGAAGGTTATTCGACACACTTTGGCACCGCTGAGGCAGCTCGTTGGTTTCTGAATCACGAGATGGATACTATCAGAAAGTGCCTAGACAAACACAAGGTGGCGTGATATCTTTTTTTTTTTTTTTTTTTTTTTCTTCTTATTTTCTTTCTTGTTTTTGTGTGTGTGTGTGTTTGTGTACGCTGTGTAAAAGAGTGACATTGCCACTATTTGGGAAAAATTGCAATTTTAGTCCTAACGCAATAGCAATTTTAGGCCAAAGTTTCCATCTTTTTGCTTTTTGGTCATGTGATTTAATATTTTGCTGCAATTTTAGTCGACTAAAATTGCAACAAAATTGTAAATTATAGGACTTGGAATTGCAACAAAATTTTAAATTACATGACTTAAATTCCTAATCGAAAATATTGGAATTTGGGAATTTGTTGCAATTTTAGTCATTTGAGGATTGAAATTGCCGCAAAATATTAAATCGTTGGACCGAAAGGCGAAATGTTGGAACTTGAGACTAAAATTGCTATGGCGTTAAACCCAAAGGACTAAAAATGCAATTTTGCCCCCCACTATTTGAGTGACTAATTAGTAAACAGGGTTTTAGACTGAGGCTCGTTGGTCATTCTCTCGGAGGTGCAACTGCTTCATTGCTTGCGATTAAACTTAAGAAAAAGTCAATGAAGGAGCTTGGGTTCAGTCCTGATATAATCTCAGCCATTGGATATGCCACCCCTCCTTGTGTCTCCAAAGATTTAGCTGAAAGTTGCTACGATTTTGTGACTACGATTGTCATGCAGGTCCGATTCTATCAGTTCTTTTTATTGTGTAGTTGAAATTTGTTTGTTATATTTTGTCCTTCTGTCACGTCTAGTTATTTTGTTTCATGCAGGATGATATTGTCCCGAGATTGAGTGTTTCTTCTTTGACAAGATTGAGGAATGAAATTGTTGAAACTGATTGGTGAGAGCATTTTTAAGCAAGCACTGGCTTTTTATATGGGTCAATATTCTTAATTTTGAGATATGAGCAAAAACTGAATTTTTTCTTGCTTAAGGTACAGTATAGTATGTACCCACAAATAATTTCTTAATGAAGCCATATCTGGATAAAAGGCTATTGTTGTTGTGAAAGTTTGTTTTTCCCATTGCTTCTTTTTCCTTGCAAGAGCTGCAAATGTTTAAATTTTGCTAATAAGGTTATATTAGGTATGTATGAGATGGCAGGCGCCCTTTTCCACTACAATCTGCAAATCCAACCATTTTCAAGATTTTCAGTTATACAAAAACTATTCTTAATGTTCACAAAGCTCTTAGTACCTAAAATTTTGAATCTCCCAACTTTTGAATTAGATAAAATTTTTCCCCCTCCACCTTTGATTATTGTCGAAATCGTGACATCTTTCTTCCGGGTTTTGGTCATTAATGACAGAGATGAATGACCATTTGTGTGCTTTTGGCAGGGAAAGTGTTTTCAGTAAAGAAGATTGGAAAGGTGTAATAGATCTGGTTGCTAATGCAAAGCAAGTTGTAACCTCTGTACAAGATGTAGCTCGTAAATTTGCCGAGTATGCTAAATTCAGAGGACACTCAAAATTTTCTGGTGCGTTTTATGTTCTTATTGCCAGATTTTTTTCTCCAGCAGCTCAGCAAAACATATGTCGATGGGGGATATTTGTAAATTTTGAAAGATATTTGTAGATTTGGAAATATGAGTTAGTTAACAACTATTAATTTTACAGAGATACCCACGAAGAAGAGGGAAATTCCAATTGCCACTAGTTCTAATAAGTACTCAGATGATAAAGCTGGACTTGAAAAACGAGCAGCCAGCAAAGCAACTGAGGATTTGTTTGTGCCTGGGACTGTCTACTACTTAAAACGGAATGTGGATTCTGAAGGCAATCGCAAACGAATTGAATACTTCACTCTGTTGAGAAGAAACCCAGGTGAGCATTTTCAAAGGATACTGCTTTCTAGCAACTTAATTTCAGACCACAAATGTGATAGCCATTATTATGCTCTGAGGGACGTACTTAAAGGTTTGCCGAGTTCTTTGGATGATAGAACAATCAGTCAATAGCTGAATTTATTTTTATGTTTTTTGGGTTTCATTGTTGTACATTATCTTAATATTGTGCTAGATGGATTCAAGTAAAATTTTGTTTCCTTTTGCAACAGTATATAGAATCTAAGTACTNTAAAAAAGGATTAAATTTTGTGTGCTCTTTAAGTGAGGTCATGGTGTTCCCTTGGTCATTCCAGCAGCAAAGATGGTAAAAATGGTGATAAAGAAATTCAAGAAAACAAGTGTCTTAACTAGATAAAAAGCAAGTGCTGTGAACACCAGAGATGGAGGAAAAAAACTGCTTGTCCCTAAATTGGCTAATTTTTTAGTACTTCCTAGCCCATTTGTCTAACATTTTGAGATGATGTATTCTCCAAGTGGAGAACACTAAAAGGTTTTGCCCTTGAGTACAATGTGGTGAAATGGGATTAGTCATAGGGTAGTGGATCTCCTGTTCCTGTGTATATTATAGCTGCTGTACTACTTGTGTGTCAATTATATGATGTATTGATGGGGATATGTTTGTGTGTAAATTCATCATCCATGTGTCCTGATTACTATAAAATGGAACTTTTCTATCACATTTTATCATATGCTTTATTGAAGTGGCATATTCAAAAAGAAAATTTTTTCAGCCATTAGATTAAGGTTTGGGTATTGAAGGTCTGCCCTCTTCAACCTACATATTAGTTTGAACTCTACAATATTTTCATTGATAATGTTGGCCACAAATATCAATGTGCAATTTATATGAACAATCAGTTAGATAACTATTAAAGCCTAGGAGTATTATGGGAATGCACCTTTGAGCCCTTAATGAGCTGAGTCAAGTCGAGTCGAGCTCGGCTAGTTAAATAAACGAGCAAGAAATCGAGCTCGAGCTTAGCTCGGCTCATTTATCACTATACGAGCGGAGTTCGAGCTTAACGAGTCGATCTCTAGCTTTAACGTTAACGAGCCAGACTGTGGAAAATTATATAATAATTATTTTTTCAAGCTTTAACGAGTCGAGTCGAGTTCGACTCGTTAACTAAACGAGCTTTTAGAAAGTATCATGCTACATCAAGATCTTGTAGTTTTATCCATCACACAAATTTGAAATCAATAAGTGATACATTTACATATCATTTATGTATGTCAAACTTTTAGTCAAATAACATAATTTTATTCAAATGCATTTAGTTTATATGATTGATGACTACGATGTCCAACATCCACGAACTCTCGTAACATGAATCAAAACAAATGATCTACAAAGAGATTTCCTACTTATTGTTTATTTGAACTTTGAGAAATTCAATTCTTTTTAGCCCTTGACAAAATGTAGTCTTTAATATATTCACGAATATTCTCTACCCATTATATATTATCTACGCTGTTTATTTATTTATTTATTTTTTCTTATAACAAATTGTTAATGCAAAAGTTGACAACCTCTTCATTTGTCCTCTCTTTTCTTACAACACATTTTGTCTGTTTCATCTTTATCGTGTGAAAAGTAAGTATAGTTAAAAAAATAACCACTTTAATCATGTTCAGCTAATGGAGACCGATATAGGAGTTGATCATCGATAATAAATAAAGGGGAAAAAGAGTAAACAACATTGTTTTGTTTACAACCTCACGTATCGATTATATTGAGCTTTTGGAAGTGTTCACTTTTCTAGTTTCTAACTTTCATACCAAAACCAATTTCTAGTTCCTCTGAAGATTGTAGTCTCTTTCATTCAGATTGATACTTCTTGATTAAGCTAGATTTACATCACCTTCACAAAATATGAAGATATATTCGATATTAGCATTCCAACTAGGCCTGTATATGAACCGAGCCGAGCTGGAGCTCGATCCTTAACGTGCTGAACCGTGCTCGGCTCGTTACATAAACGAGTATGTAAACCCTAAACCCTAACGAGTTAAGTTTGAGCTTTAACGAGACCATCTCAAACTTTAACTAGCCGAACTATAGAAAATTAAATAGAACTTCTCTTTTTGAGCCTTAACAAGCTTTATCAAGCCGAGTCAGGTTTGGCTCGTTAACCAAACGAGCTTTAAATGAGCTCGAGATCGGCTCGTTAAAGACTAGCTCGAGCTGAACTCCGCCGAGTCGAGCCAGACTCATTTGATTTAAACGCACTAATTCCAACTATCAAGGGGAGTGTATTCAATTGGGATTTCTAAGGACTTTTTAAGACTTTAAAAATCCTGGTTGTTGACCCCCGACTTGGTAATTCGAATATAATTCCAAGTGAAGATGGGTTACAAATAAACGTAACCAAGGTTTAAGATAAGATGAAGATAAAGCACGTCGAAACGGCCTCAGAAACTCTTCTCATTTGAAAACAGCGCAAGACCTTGAAGTAACACCTCCCCTCGGGAATTGGACCTTCCCAACCAACGTGACGAATGGGCATAACATGACGAACCGACGTAACTCACTACCGGCGTCATGATACTACCAACTACCCGTGATTTTCCCAAACACGAACCGACTTCCGACTTCTCAGAACCTCACCGTAGTCCACTGACATCACAATCCCCCTCAATCCGCCTCGGGGGTAATCGAGTTCGCCAAAACCGAAGCAGGTGACGAGGCGCCTACACAACCTCGTTGCGTCTCGTGCCCAACGTCATGATGATCGTGGGCCCAACTAACCAAACCGCCTATTTAAAGCCACTTTTCGTACAATTCCAAAAAATGATTGGAGATCTCGAAAAACGTGTATCAAAAAATTACTATATATATTGAGCAATTCCCTTGATAAAGGGGGGACTTTTGTACCACGTTCATTTCGGTTAATTACACACCGACCAATTACCGATTAATAAAATCTCCGGTTACCGCTATTTACTACTGGAATTTATGACATATTCACATTAATGATGTTGTTGCAAATCCGTACGACAACACTGGTGTATTCAATTAGATTTGTTAAGACTTTTTAAAGTCTTGGGGTATTCAATTGGGATTTTAAAAGTCTTACAAAATCTTGAGGAATTTAATTTATTTGACAGTAGGATTTGTTAAGACCTTTTAAGATTTAGTGAGATTTCTAAACAAAAAAACCTTACACGAAATCCAACTTCAAATCCCACCTCCAGACTTAAGATTTCACAAAATTCTTCCAAAGTCTGGATATCACAAAAAGTCTTAAAATGTCACTTAAAATCCCAATTGAATACACCTCAAAGTCATTCGATATTGGAATTGTATGTAAAGTATATGTATTGTATTAAAATGTGTTGTATGCTTAAATTTGACAACATTACTTTAGGTACATTATTTGTACTATCTAATTCTCTTATGTTTCAAACTATATAAAAATATTTCTTTATTATGTTATGGGTCTCAAAAAGTAATGTATAGAAGAAAAGTTAATTATCCAAAATGGTTCTAAAAATTCCCTTTCATCAACCACACTTCAACAAATGGCTAGCTAATCGAATTAGTATGTTATTTGCATGAAATTAAGTTTTTTTTTTTTTTTTTTTAATANGCAGATCATAGTTTGACTCACGTAAGCAGAGTACACTCAATTAAGGGAACATTTTGTCTATAAATTTGAGTACTAATTGAGATATTGAAATGGGATAGAGTACTCAAATTAGGTTAACCTAGTTATTAATAGCCCATATATACATACAACTGAATTAATGATCCCAGTTTAAAGACTAATAATATCAAGCGTGTGTTTGCTTCAATAACAATCATAAGTTTCACCTTTTTGCCAATCCCTAGCTAGTTGAAAAGAAAAAAAAAAAAGTTTGAGACCATAAAATCAATGTTATAATTAGTAATCAAAACATATGGATATTCTTGTTCCTGATAACATTTGATGCACCCTTTTAAGTTATTTCTTTTTGATCTTTAAATGATCAATTTCTTTTTGTGAGAGTGGAAAAAGATTTTGTTGCATGTATGGGTATAGTATTAACTTAAGAACAACTTTTTGACAAATTTTAAATCAATTGGAATCAATTAATAATAATATTTTAAATTAGTTAAATTAAAGACATTCTCGCAAAGAAATTGAATATTCTGGCTTGAAAAAATTGAAATGTGCCCGATGTGCCAATCTTTGTCCTATTAGTTAATCGAACTGCAACAAGTTACTTTTGATACATCCATAAAGTTACGAGACTATTTTTACTTTATTTATTTATTTATTCATTTATTATAATAGAGACTAGATATAGAGACATGCCTTGGAATCAAAATATATATATATATATATATATATATATATAGGGACCAAAATTTCTATCCCTAAAGTCACAGCCCTAATTTTTCCTTAACCTTTTGAATTGAAACTAATTAAGCCCCATTTAAAAAATATGAACATGTTTTCTTAACACATTGGAAAAAGACGAGAGGATTCAAACGTATCTCAATAATGCATGAATTATATTTCCCTATATTAATTAAATTAAATTAAATATTCGTGGAACCATTCGTGCATAAGAAAACGTCCGCTACAATTAAAATAACTAAAGTTATAAACGACAAGAAGTATAACAAATTCAACTCAAATTAGAATTATTGTCGTGACGTAATTCCATCTCTAAGTCATTGAATACGTAAAATGTTTGTATATAATGATGTAACTTATGGTAAACAATAATGAACTTATAAATCAATCAATAACGGTGATTTCATATTACAGTCCTAAGAATTTTCGTCATTTTAATTTAAGGTCCAATGTTTAGAATAATCATTGGAAAAATCTATTAGTCTGAAGAATTTTAAGAAAACATTTTTTTTTTCTTGATTTAATTAGAATTATTTACTTATCTTATTTTCATACAATGAATTGTTTAATAACGTTTAAGGGATTTCATATTTTACCATAAGCAAGTTGTGTAAATATTTACAAACTAGCTAGTAGGCTAAGCCAAGTTCGATCAACTAATAATCGAATTCGTTTAACAAGAATGAAGTCGAGCTTTCTTCGCAAATAATTCATTATTATTTTTTATAAGTTTTAATTTTTAAATGAAATGGTTGAGACGAATTCTTTTGCGAATATACGTTTGAGTCTGCAAACAATCCATTTAAAATTTTAGGTTCATTAAATGGTCGAGCTAAGCCAAACCAAACTTTCACGAGCTTAAGCAAATCGAGTTGACTCGTTTATTAAGGGAGCACGACCTCGAAACATGAGCTACTCAGTTTGGTTTGGGCTCGAATAACATCAGATGTTTAACTATTTTCTTTCATTTTTATTTTCTTACTAGTACAATACTTGTGTACTATACGGGTACATGTTAAGAATATTATATTAAAATTAAATAATAATAACGACAAATATTATTTTAGTTTTTTAATACCTTTTTTAACAAATATATTATTATTTGTATTTAAAATAACAACATCACTTACACGACTTATCATCTTATATTATATTTTTTTTTCTCATTTATATCAGATAACTACTTTATAGTTAAGTTAGTTTAAAAAGTAATTTTATTTTTTTGAATTAATATTAATAGTTAATTTAATTTTAATTATAAATACAAATAAAATTATTTATTTATTTTGTGTGTATAATATAGATGTCAAATCAAAGTTCATCAAGATATGATTAATTTGATATATTATATATAAAAATTTATTAATAAATAAAAAAATTATTAACTTTAAATATATTTATAATTTAAGTTAGTAAATTTGTTATAGTTTAAAAGAAATATGAGGAAAAAGAAAGATTAGGAAAAAAAATTATACGTAATAAACTACGTCAACAATAGAAAATGATATTAAAATTAACATAATTAATACTCTTAAAAAAGAGTATAAGTATTCAGTATATTTATGGATATTGCAAACTTAATTACTTTTGGATTGAAAATAAATAAAAATTTATTCAAGCCAAATAACAAAGTTTAAAAATTTGCCACATAGGTTCTTGAATAAGAGGATGATATTCATTTCTAACGAATGAAATGGGTAATGTTGGCAAAAATGTAATTCAACTTAAATTAATAAGCATATTACCTGATAAATTTAAAGTTAAACTGCAAAACCACTAGCGGGTAGAGCTGAAACAGCCGAATTAATTTTGATTAAACAAGATTAAAAGATTAAGGGAATCTTCACTATATTATATTATGGGAAAATGACATGCACAATGGGACATGATTAAATGCCAAATTAAGTAGATCGAGAGTATTGGATATGAACAAACAATCAATTGACTTAGAAGTATCAGTGAGTCAACTGTTGGCTCCGTTTCATGTGGGACAGTCCCACATGGAGTTGTCCTATTGGTTGATTACGGAGCCAACAGTTGACTCCTTAGCATTACTGTAGAAGTATAACCATGAAACTGGACTTAATAAATTTCTAAGGAACATAGACTTAATTAACCACGGTTTTGCTATGAAGCCAACAGTTGGTTCCATAGTGGAGCCAACCTTCTATATACAACAAATAAACCTACCATATTAATAAAATTATATTAGTGTTATTTAAGTAATCAGAGAATATGGTATGTTTATTTGTTGTATATATATAGAAAGTTGACTCCACTATGGAGCCAACTGTTTGCTTCATAGCAAAACCGAAATTAACCATACATAATTCTTGGAAAAATATTTAGAGAAATGCTATAGGTATATATTATTGTGCATAGGGGTGTACATAACACTCATATTGAGTGAGAATGATGAAGAATAAAAAATCAAGTGGACCCACTTTATGTCAGTGTTATGTACACCTCTATGTACATTTATTATGTACTTGTAGCATTTTTCAAATATTTAAGTATTGAATTAGTGCAAATTAAGACAGTATAACATCAATTACTAGGTCTAGCTAGGCCACTTAACTACAAAAATTGATTAAAAAACTCGTTAATCCTCAATAATTAAGGTACATAATTACTGCTTTCGTCACATGATAGGTAAAAATCCCATTTTACAGGCTTTAGTACAACATGAAACTCCACTAATTATAATGCTCCCAACTCCTTTTTACATGCAATAAAAAAGAAAAAAATAAAGTCCCACAAATTCGATTCTACCATTAGAAACATACACTCAGTCACTCACATCTATATATATTGTATATATTCACATGGGTGTATGTTAATCTAACGATAAAAAATTTAATGAAGGTATTGGCCTCACCGAAAGGATCAAAATTTCCGAGCCTGTTGTAACCCGACATTAAGCATGTAAATGATTACAAAAACTACATTGAATTTAGTCTAATTATAGAAAATCCCCATTTAACTTTTATGTTACAAATATGTAGCACCCTCAAGATTTTTGTAATTATCTTACAAATACAAAATAACCCTCTCATGAGAATGGATCTGATCATCTCGCCTATTTTTACTGTTTGATTACACATACTCACATGCACACCCATATAGATGTGTGTTGATCCAACAGTAAAACACACACGTCAGATACATATTTGTAATTCCAAAAGCTAATTGGGGTTCATCTGTAATTAAGCTAAAGTCGACGGGTTGTTTTCACAGTTAAATTTAATTTTCACCGTTCATCATTCTAAGCGCCAGGGCCTGGAGCTCACTTAGGTCAGCCTGTGAAGCTCTTCTCTCGTCGACTAAGTACTCATATCGACTTTGGATTTCTTGGTCGTTAATTGAGTCGATCGAGCTTTGAGGTGACGTGTTATAGTTAGGGAACTGAAATGGAGATGGAGATCCCATGAGGCCCGGTGCAGTGGGCTCGGCGAGCCAATGGCTCTCTACGCTTTGCGATGAGTGGTCGATCAATAGGATTTGCGCCAGTTGGGCCTTGGCTTGCATTAGTTGGGCTTGTAGATACGCCACCTGTCGTGATTGATTCAAATAGAAAAATAATTGAAATTAAAACTTAAACTAATTAAGGGATGTATTCCTTTGATATTTTGAGTGACATTTTGAAATTTTTTTAGATTTAAGACTTTTTAAGATTTTTAAATTTAAGAAAAATCCTATAAAATATGAAGTATATATGGAGTTGAGATTTGGAGTGTGATTTGACATATAGTTTTTTCTATTGTAATCTTAGCAAATTTTAAAAACGCTAACAAATCATAGTCTTAAATAAGTTAAATACCGCGTGATTTTATAACACTTTTTAAAATCTCAAATGAATATCCTATGACCTTTAAAAATATTAAAAATTCTAAGATATATACTCCAAGAGTTCTAAAATTAAAAAAGTTTTTAGAAATTTCAAACGAATACATCCTAAGGTGTGTTGAAGTCTTGGAGTGACAATCACATTTAGCACATTTGGTGGTGAAATTGAAATAGAATAAAAAAAAAGGTCAAATTGGTTTGTTTTCATAAATCCAATTCCTCAAATTTTGGTAAAATACAAATTCCATAATCTTAACATCTGAAAATTCATTTTTGGTTTACCAACTTTTCATATTTGCATAAATAACATTAAAATCAGTATTATAACCTTTTAAAATCATTAAAGAAGGCCGTTTGATAGATTAATGTATCATGAATTAATATCATAATAATACAGTAAAAGCATCTCCAATGTTAGATGTTGACTTAATAAAATGTTAGTCACATCATCAAGTTATAGAAGTGATTACAAAAATTACTCTCCAATTCATAATGTTATGGACTCTTTTATGCTGACATGGAGAAAATAAATGTCCAAAGTGTGAAGCTCACTTTCTAGTTTTTCAAAAAGTATTTGAAAGCCAACTCATAAAAAATCTAACATATTTTAAGCTTTTGAAAGGGATGCATTGGAGATCTGCATTCTAAATTAAAGTCTTCTTTTTTGACATTCATATTATATAGATTTACATTCCATTCATCATTTGATATGTGTTCAAATTTAATTATTATTGAAAGTAGAGCATTGAAGATGCTCTAACTTGTCAAATAAACTTTTACTTTATGATTGTAAACCAATCAGTATAACGTCAAAGTTGTCAAAGTGATCAGTTTCCGTAAATACAACGTTTGGTGAAATTTACAAATCGGCTGAGCTCTATAACAGGGCAAAAATTTATTTGTACTAATTGGACTTATTTGGTTATTCCAAACAATAAAACACTTATTTGGCGCATCTTATCAAAATCAATAAAAAGAAAATATCCATTTAGCAAGTTAGTGTGAAAGAACTCGTCAAAATAAGTTAATGTACTAAATTTTGATAAGCTTCAAATTAATATATTATTTAAAAAAACAGACCAAATTAGTGTACCCAAAATAAAATTAAGCCTGAGAATTTTGTGTATGGTAACAAGCTCAAAAATAATGACACCAAAAAATAAAATAAGACAAACAATGTTTTTTCTTATTTTTATTTTATTAAAATTTAATTTATTTTACCTGTTGTTGCAAGGCGAATATATGGGCCACACAGCCATGAACGGGGTCCCTGATGCGGGCTTGGGCCTCATAGGCGATGGTGACAACGGCCTCACACCGTTCGGGCACTGGCACGTGCAGAAGCAGCTTGGACACGTTGCTAGCCCCAAACACTTTGTGAATGGCTGCGAATCGGGCCGGGCCTTGCTCCGAGCAGAAGTAAGGCCCAAACACACAATTGGGCGCGCACTTGCGCCGGAGGAACTTGCATGCGCCGCACGGGGACCCGGTCCCGTTTGCCATTGTGGATGAGATGTTGTGGGAAAAGAATAAATAAAAATACGCGGAGAAATTAAAGTGGATTTGTGGAAAAAAGGAAAAAGAAAACGAAAGTGGATTTTAAAGTGGATTTTAGGTGCACGGGGAGATTAGAAAATGGTGCAGATATATGAAGGGAAGATTTTGGGGTTTGAGAGAGAGAGAGATGAATGGGACATGGAAGGTTTGTTATGTATGGTTCTAAGGAGACACTTATTGATGGCTTGTGTAACATGGGGTGTATTTTTTTATTTTATTTTTTTTCAAATTCATTTTGTGAAGGTTAGATATTGCAACTTTGGTTTGGGAATAGTCCTATTTTTTTTTGTACAGTATTTATAGAATTATTAAAATGTATGACAGATATTTATATGTAATCATTTATATAATTAGGATTCAATGAAATATGGGGTGTATTTTGTTAAGGTTTAATTACAAATTTGGTTTAGTCAATTTAGTAATTCCCGCTCATTTCTTTCTAATTTCTTTCTCTTTGTTAAAAAAAAAAAAAGAAAACGCAATTTCGTTTCTCCCTCTCCTCATACGACTCTTCCCTCTACCTCTCACTTCTGGCCTTCCGAAAGGGGCCGGCGGCGGCACCTTTGCCCAGTTGCTGGACGGAGTTGGCGATTTCGCAGTTGCTCGATCTCCCTTGCCTTTTCAATGTCACTTTGGGTCAAATCGGGCTCAGGCTACGTCCCTTGACAGATTTGATTAGCCATCAGAGTATGGATCAGAGTTTTCAAGTTTGAAGGCCTTAATTTGCGGTTCTCTTTTTGTTGTAGAGGTGGGTGTTAAGTTTGCGGTTCGTTGATGCTCACTGTTGTGGTGATTGTCAACGAATTAGAGCTTGAAGCAGGTGTGGTTGTTGTAGGGTGTGAAAACACAATCTCACATCGAAAAATTAAAGGTTCCAAGTCCAATATATAAGCTTGGTGGGCTACTCCTTCTATTGCCAATTGGTTTTAGAATGGAACCTCATTTGGGCTTGTATGTTGGGCTTGATGGAGAACTGGATTTTAAGTTGTTGGTCCTGACAATTGGTATCAGAGCGACGGTTGGTCCAGTTGCGTCAGAGCCACGGTTGGTAGCCCAGTTGCGATGTGGATGACGTGGCATGTTCTCTGTGGAGCCGGTGGACGGCTGGTGGATCCGTGTGCTTTGTGTCGAAAGTCTTCCTGGCGAAATGGTGGTCAGGCCACTACAAGAAATCTGCCAAAAAGTGACGAAATTCATGTGACGAAAAACAAATCGTCACCATATGTTTCCTTATGGTGACGAATTTAAGAAATCGTCATTACATCATTGCATACGGCGACGACTATTACATTCGTCATCTTAGAATTTATTTTTCGTCACATAATGGTAATTTTTATGACAATGCACATCAATTCGTCACCTTTACATCTAAGTTCGTCATATGTATATAACATGTGACGAAATTAAATGTGACAAACAAAATATCGCCACTTTTGTTGTTATTTAAAATGATGCTTACTACTAATTCGTCATTATATAATTATTTATTGTGATGATACATTATAATACATCTAAATTCGTCACATTAATACATATTATGACGCAGCTACGGTAACGATCTCTATGACGATAAAATTTTGTGATTAATGTACTGTTCTGACGAAAAACAAGGTTTACATGACGAATTTTATCGTCATATTTTCTGAAATTTCTTATAGTGGGCGGCAGATTCTGTGGGTGATAACGACGGTACAAGATGGTTGGATCGTATGAATTTCGTTCAAGGGAGGCCCAATATGGTCTTGTGTTTGAGGGAAGGTTTGTAGGGTGTGCAAACTCAATCCCACATCGAAAAAATTAAAGGTTCCAAATCCAATATATAGGCTTGGTGGACTACTCCTTCTATTGCCAGTTGGTTTTAGAATGAAACCTCATTTGAGCTTGTATGTCGGGCTTGATGGAGAACTGAGTTTTGAGTTGTTTGTCCTAACAGTTGTGAGGTCGTTTGAAGAGTGGGAGAGGTCATAAATTAAAATCTATCAAAGTCACACGACGAAACATCAAATTTGGCACATAAAATTTTGAAGCGTGTGAGTCTACTAGTTAGGCTTAACACATTCAAAAATTATATATAAAAGAATAACGTTAATATATTTATATTATTATGAATTGTTTGAAAATGAAGCCAAAAATAAAACTATTATATAAATTTGTGTTATCAATATTTGGATTATAAAAAATGTTATATGGGGATTTCCTTCCAAAAACTAATATTTTGCTTATATTAACCCTTAAGTTTCATTTTTGTTAGAAAAATGTTACATTATCACTACTGTATAATTAAATTGACAATAAAAGTGAAAATATTCACTTATGTATTTTTTTTTTATTTTTTTATTTTGAATATTTTTAATTGTGTTGTCTGGTTGTTGTATACTTAGGCACGCAATGTAGCATTACACTTTTTGTTATGTACGACTCTTCCAAAGGTTCACTTATTATTGTTATTTTTTGTTTTATCTGCCTCATTTATTTTGGTCAAAATTTTGTTATCATTATATACCGAATGAGTTTGTTCAAGAAAAAATAAACCTTTTTTTCCGCCGAACGCCGTACCTGGGAACTGCTGCAACTTTTTTTGTTGCTTTATTATAAATATATCTCTATTATACAGATTACGTTACACGTAATGATGAAGAATTTTTCTTTCATAAGATAATTATTTGGACTTAAAAAATTAATTGTGATTAGTGTATAGTATAGTAAATTGGTTTGATCACCTTCATAAAGAATATACTTTATTGATAAAGTCGTGTGGTTCAGTGGATGTGAACAAAGATCACAACTTTATTTGGACAAAAGAACAATAATATAAACGTTATTTTAATAAGTGGGCACTGTCCATCAATTCAGATAATTAAAAAAAAAAAAATTGTTCAAAAATAGTTTGCTTATAGAAATTATCAGTGTAAATATTAATAGTATAATTGCAAAGGTCAGTTATGAATGTTTCACTTTAGAGCTGCTACCTTAATTTTGCTATGGGTTTATAAAATTGATGAGCTTGGGAAATGGGTTCTCAAATGGCTTAATGAGTGTCTTTTTTTATTATTATTAATTTGTATTTGTCAATTAAGGATATTGTTACGCCACCCATAGTGTAACGCCCCGTTTATTTCTTATAATCATAGCATTTGCATTTAATATCATGGCTCGACTGAGTCTTAAATCCCGGTTCTTTGCCCTCTATTGTGCTCGTGTTTTAGTTTGTGTGCCTAAGGGTTCATTTTGTTGTCTAACTCATGTCCTAATTGTTTTGCCCAAGTGTTTATTTTTGCCTAAATTGCCCAAGTATGTATTCATGTGCTGTTCGGTCATCTCAAGAAACTTTCCCAAGTCCCTAAATGCCTTTAGAACTCGGCCTTGTGCAAGCTCATGTGATGCCTTAAGGTTCTCGGCCATACCAATGAAAAGACCGGCCAGGTGCATTCGAATTTTTAAACAAGCCATGCACAAGCACACCCTAGACTAAGTCATGCAACAACCCCTTGTTTCTAGGCCCATCACCCCACGACATCCTCATTTCAGCAACCCTATTTTGAGGCCTTATTAAAGCAACAATCGCACCAGCCGTCCCTTCATTTCTCCCTTAGAAAAACTCACATTTTTCTCCCTCAAAACTCAGCAAAAAGCATCCATTTTTCCCAGCACAAAAATACTCCTAGCCAATCAACCTAGAATCATTGGGGTTCAACACATTGAAAGACATAAAGTAAGACAATTCAAAATAAAATAAACACATTTATCTAATAAAAAGTTAGCGCCTCAAACTCCATACAGGAGAATCGACACAAACAAACAAAACATGTCCATTTAACAACAAAATTAAGTAAAACACAAAAATAAAAGCAAAATAAACCTAAAAAAAGCTAGACTGATCTATTAGGACCGACAACTCAAAACCCAGTTCTCCATCAAGCCCAACATACAAGCTCAAATGAGGTTTCATTCTAAAATCAATTGACAATAGAAGGAATAGTCCAACAAACTTATATATTGGATTTGGAACCTTTAATTTTCCGATTTGGGATTGGATTTGCACACAATGCACTTTTGATTCCATTATTGTTGTTGGAAATTTTCTAAAAACACACAATGCACTTTTAAGATTTGATTCCAACTGCGTGGATATCTGATGACTCCTAATTTATGCATTATCCCAATGTGTAATGTAACGTTCACGATAATATTAACCAAGGAACAAAAAAATCGCTCCCTCTAAACCAATCGTTCTCCATCAATATAAATCAAATAAAAAAATAAAAATACACGATAAAACTTGAAATGTAACAAGCACAAGCTCCACCTAAACATCACCTGGAATTGGCGTCGGCCACAGTGGATGCACGAGAACAAAGGACGCGAGACCCTCGTCGCCTATGGATTCCATTTCCCCAAACTCCCCGAGCTCGCGACACGTGTCCTTTGAAACCCCACACTCGTAAACACTCTTTCCGCACACGACGAAAATCGAATCACAATCTTTCGGATGAAAAATGGCTGCAACCACCGTATCCGAAAACCTCAAGTCCCTCTCGTCGACCAACGCCCACGACCCGTCCCAACGATCCAATTCCCAAACCCTCAAAACGAAGCATTCCATGCCCGGCCCGACCCGCAAAACGTGCAACAACCTCAACTCATCTCTCACAACACCAATTTGGATCCTCGAGTCATTTGGCGGCCGCGTGTCGTGATTACGCACAATGTCCGGGAAATATATGACTCCACACCGATTATCGGCCAAATCTAAAGAAACGACTCGGTCGAGGTTATGTAAACCGTCCATCCAGTACAGAATCCCATTGCACGAAACGACATTCGCGAATTCGGCATGATCCCTCGTCGGGCGACTAGGAAACAAGAAGAAAGATTTGGTCCATTGCCCCGACTCTGAGCAAAAAACCCTCACGGTTTGTCCGTATCTACTTACAAGAGCTTCTCCCGATGCATCGACCAAGCTAATCCGGTCGAGAACTACCACTTTGTACGTGGGCTCGTTAAAATCGGGCAAGTTGCATACTAATGCGAACCCAATCTTTGTTTCGAGCGAATATTCTATAGGAATCGGAAAGTACTTTTTAGTCACCGGATTACAAATGTAGTAGTACCCTTGATAGTTGGACACGAGCAACAAGTCGTTGCACGATGCTCTTACGGTCATGACTTGACAAATAAAGTCGAGATAGATAGACGAAGGTAATGCATGCTTGCCATGGATAAGTAAAGATTCCTCCTTGGAAAACAACTTATAACACTTTGGGATTTTTTCAAAATAACGATAATTCTTGCGGAAAAGGATGGTGTAGGATAGATCTCGATCTTGATGGAGGCATATGAACCTATGGATGAATTGGGGTTGAGAGATCAATGAATGCCAAAGCCGACAAACTGAGCTCAACCAAATAGCATATCGACAATTCGGGAGTCTAAGAAGGATCTCCGACAATATGTCTTCATCGACATTGGACAACAAAACTCCTAAAGTTAGAAAGTGAGATAAATGGGTATTAGCAACCGTTAATTACGTACAATAAAGTAAACCAA